AATAACCAGGCTAAAAGGCAAAAACAAAAAATAGGGATACCAGAGATTGCACACTGGATGGAAACAGAATTCACAGAGTTAGTTTAGCCAAGTAACTGAACGAATAAATCAATGACTTGGAAAACAGGAATGATATCAATCCCTGCAGGCAGAGGCAGATGTGGAATCAGCATCCAGAGTTGCTATAATATATTATCTAAAATGTCCAGTTTTCAAAGGCAATTTTACAAGATACTCAAAGAAACAGAAAAGTGTGACCTATACAACAGGAATAAAAGAAAGCATTAGTAACTATTCTGAAGGAATTCAGATGTTGAACTTGACAGACTTTAAAGCAGCCATTATAAATGTGTTCAAAGGACTAAAGAAAAGCATGTCTAAAGAAGGCAGGTATGAGAACAATGTCTCTTCCAATTAAAAAAAAATCAGTAAAGAGATAGGAATTATAAAAAATAAACCACATACAGATTATGTAGTTGAAAAGTATAATAACAGAAAGGGGCGCCTGGGTGGCTCAGTCATTAAGCATCTGCCTTTGGCTCAGGTTATGGTCCCAGGGTCCCAGGGTCCTGGGATCGAGCCCCACAGCCTGCTTCTCCCTCTCCCTCTCCCACTCCCCCTGCTTGTGTTCCCTCTCTCACTGTGTATCTCTCTGTCAAATAAATAAATAAAATCTTTAAAAAAAAGTATAATAACAAAATTTCTAGAGGATTTCAAAAATAGATTTTCTCTGGCAGAAAAAAAGGATCAGGAAATTTGAATATAGATCAATAGGGATAATGCAATCTGAAAAGAAAAAAAAAGGAACGAAGCATAAGAAAAATGTAGGCCATAATTAAACACATCAATATACCTGCAATGAAAGTACTGGAAGGAAAGAAGAAGAAGAGGCAGAAAAAATTTTCAAAGAACTAAGAGCTAAAAACTTCCCAAATTTAATGAAAAAAATCTGTACATCTAAGAAGCTCCATAAGGAGAATAAATACAAATAGACCACATTCAGAAACATAATAGTAAAATATTTGAAAGTCAAATATAAAGAGATCATCTTGGAAACAGTGACAAATGACTTATCACATACAAGGAAACTCCAAGATATACCGCTAACTTTTGACTACAAACAGTGGAGGCCAGAAGGCAATGGGATGTCATATTTAAAGTGATGAGAGAAAAAACTGTCAACCGAGAATCAGCAAAAACCCTTTTAAAGATGAAAGCAAAGTAAATATATTCCGAGAGAAACAAAAGCTGAGAGATTTTGTTGGTAGCAGACCTACCATACAAGAAATGCTAGAGGAAGTTGTTTAGCTGAAAAGAAATAGCATCAGACAATAATTTGAACCCGCACAGATATACACACACAAAAACATGGAGGAGCAATAAAGGTAAGTATAAAAGACGATGTAGAATGATGTAATGGAAGATGATGGAGTAGGAAACTTCAGGAACCAGTCCTGCCACTGGAAAAAAAAAAAAAAAAACTTTTGAGAAGGCATTTACAGTCAGAATCAACTATTTTGGAAATCTGGAGTCTGGTCAAACTCTGGCAGTATCTAGGGGAGTGCTTAATGAAGTAAGAGGCTGGTAAATTTTGGTGAGTTTTGCATTTCACAGAGAAGCTACCATCTTCCATTTCCCGGCCCTGCATCAGGTGGCTGTGGGATGGCAGCCCCTGTTTCTGGTGTGCCTCAAAGTTGCCAGGTTGTACAATAAGCACCTTATTTTTCAGAGATAAGGGTTAATAGTGTTGATCTGCCTTGTAGATTACTGTGGGAGTAGTGTAGGAGTTGGCCACTGTTGCAGCCCTCTTAGATTGAAGGAGCTTCAGGGCAGCGTTTGTCAGGGAACTAAAAGAATGGGATGCCTTTTATTTCTCTTACTTTATTGGATCCCTGCATTCAAAGAATTCTCTGTCAGGCCACTAGCCAACTGTTGAGATAACAGAGACTTTAGTGAGTGATCACACATGATAGGAAAAATGGTCCTGGCAAAAATAGTTTAGGAAAGTCACTAAACAAGCGGACGACTGTATCCTTCTATGAGCAACATCAATCTCTGGGGAACAAGGAGAATCTGATTCCTAGAAGTACCACAATGTGACATAAAAGTCCAGTTCTTAACAAAAAATTACAAAGCATACAAAGAATCAGAAATGTGTGGCTGGCTCATGGGGGAAGGGGGCAGATAAATCAAATTAAAATACCTCTGAGAAAGCCTAGACCCTGGACATACAAGACTTTAAATTAGCTGTATTAATATATGTGAAAGGCTGAAGGAATCAATAGACAAAGACCTAAAGGAAATCGACAGAACAATGTGTGAACAAGTAGGGATCTATTAAGGAAGATAGAATTTTTAAAATGAACTAATTAGAAATGCCAAAAAATTACAAAAGTTGAAAAATTAATAAAAAGCTCTCAACAAATTTAAGCAGGCAGAAGAAAGAATCTGCAAACTTGAAGATAAAACAATTGAAATGACCAATTATGAGGAGCAGAAAGAAGAAAGAATGAAGAAAAATAAACAGAGCCTAAAGGACCTATGGTATACCATCAAAAGTACCTACATAAGCCTTATGGAAGTCCTAAAAGGAAAAGGGAGAAAAAGTGACAGAACATTTAAAGAAAAAACAATGGAAAACGTCCTAATTTTGATTAAATACATCAATATACACATTTAAGAAACTCAAAAATTCCAAGCAGAAAAACAAAAAGAGATCCACATTAAAAAAGATTCTAGTCAAAATGTCAAAATAAATAACAATGGAAAATGTTAAATAAAGAAATAACAATGGAAAACATCCTAATTTTGATTAAATACATCAATATACACATTTAAGAAACTCAAAAATTCCAAGCAGAAAAACGAAAAGAGATCCACATCAAAAAAGATTCTAGTCAAAATGTCAAAATAAAGAAATAACAATGGAAAATGTTAAATAAATAACAATGGAAAATGTCCTAATTTTGATTAAATACATCAATATACACATTTAAGAAACTCAAAAATTCCAAGCAGAAAGACGAAAAGAGATCCACATTAAAAAAGATTCTAGTCAAAATGTCAAAAGCCAAGACAAATCTTAAAAGTAGCAAGAGAAGTGACTCATTACATATAAGGGATCCCTAATAAGAGTATCAGCTAGTTTCTCTTCTGAAACCATGGAGGCCAGAGGCAGTGAGATGATATTTTTATTATGCTGAAAGAAAAAAATGTCAAGTAAGAATTCTACTGCAAAATAATCCTTTAAAAACAAAAGAGAAAGTAAGACATTCCAAATACTAAAGCTAAGAGAGTTTACCACTATTACATTTGCCCTATAAAAAATGCTGAAAATAGAGATGTCTGGGTGGCTCAGTTGGTTAAGCATCTGCCTTCGGCTCAGGTTATGATCACGGGGTCCTGGGATTGAGTCCCCCGTTGGGCTCCTTGCTCAGCAGGGAGCCTGCTTCTCCCTCTGCCTGCTGCTCCCCCTGCTTGTGTTCTTTCTCTCTCTTTCTGACAAATAAATAAATAAAATATTTATAAAAAATGCTAAAAATAGAGCTAGAAGTACAGTTCTACCACAGTAAAGGTAATTGCAGAAAAGCTAATATTTAGAGCTTGTTGCTTCTCTTTTTGTTTCCTGTATTATTTAAGAGACCAATGCATAAGACAGTAATATAAATCTATGTTAATGGGCACACAATATACAAAGTTGTAATTTGTGACAATAACATAAAGGTGAGGTGGAAGACTGAATAGGACCAGAGTTAATGTATACTATTGAAGCCAAGTTGGTATCAATTCAAACTGGATTGGTAAATATTTAGGGTATAACTAGGGTATATTTAATATATTTATATTTAAATATTTAGGGTATATTCAGGGTATAATCCCCATAGTAACCACTAAGAAAATAACTAAGAATTGTACAGGAAAGGGAATGAAGAAGGTATTAAAAAATGGTATGCTAAGGGTGCCTGGGTGGCTCAGTTGGTTAAGCCTCTGCCTTCAGCTCAGGTTATGATCTCAGGGTCCTGGGATGGAGCCTCGGGCTCTCTGCTTGGCAGAAAGCCTGCTTCTCCCTCTCTGTCTGCCTCTCCCCTGCTTGTGCTCATATGCGTGCATATGTCAAATTAAAATCTTTAAAAAAATGGTATGCTCAGGGCGCCTGGGTGGCTCAGTCATTAAGCGTCTGCCTTCGGCTCAGGTCATGATCCCAGGGTCCTGGGATCAAGCCCCACATCGAGCTCCCTATTCAGCGAGAAGCCTGCTTCTCCCTCTCCCACTCCCCCTGCTTATGTTCCCTTTCTCGCTGTGTCTCTCTCTGTCAAGTAAATAAATAAAATCTTAAAAAAAAAAATGGTATGCTAGAAAAAAACACAAATGAGGTCGGTATTGGAGGAACTGAGGAACAAAAACAATATAAGACATAAAATAAAGAGCAACGTGGCTGAACTCAGTTCTTTATTATCAGTAATAATTCTAAATGTAAATCAATTAAATTCGCCAATAAAAAGACAGAGATTGACATAATGGATTTTTGAAAATGTTTTATACATGCACCCTGTGTTTATTGCAGCATTATTTATAACAGCCAAACTATGGAAGCAGCCCAAGTGTCCATTGAAAGATGAATGGATAGAGATGTGGTATATATGTATACAATGTAATATTATTCAGCTGTACAAAATAATGAAGTTTTGCCATTTGCAACAACATAGATAGAGCTCAAGAGTATAATGCTAAGCAGAATAAGTCAGAGAAAGACAAATAACATATGATCTCACTCATACATGGGATCTAAAAATCAAAACAAAGGAACAAGGAAAAAAAGAGACAAACCAAAAAAACAGACTCTTAACTATGGAAAACAAACTGATGGTTACCAGAGGGGAGATGGGTAGGGGGACAAGGGAAATAGGGAATGGGGGTTAAAGAGTCCATTTATCATGATGAAAAAAAAAATGTTTTAAATATATGCGATTTACAAGAGATTTACTCTTTATTTATTTATTTTTTGATGCTAGGTATAATTTTATTTTATATAAAAAGCATTTTTATGATTCCTCAGAGCCCAGGGATTGGTGCTGGTGGTTGGAGGGACCTGCCCCCCACTGGTTCATTTAATCCTCTGTCCAGGTACCCTCAGAGCCTAGGCCAGGAAAGCAAGGTGGAAATCCGAGCAGGAGCCTCATACTTCTGCTGACCTACTCATTCTGTGACTTCAGGGGTCACATACAAGGTTAATGTTTCCGGTCCCCACCGGATGCGCACTGCCAGCTGGGATTGGGTTCGAACAGCTTCATAAATATCTTCAGCGTTTTGTACCAGCTGCTCCCCAATGGCCAAGATCACATCACCCGGCCGTAAACCAGCCCGGTGTGCAGGGGAGTCCAGGATGACTTTATGGATGAGCACACCATGCTGAGCATCAGGAAAGCTTGGTTCTCGAAGCTGTAGTTCAGCAAGGATGCTGGGAGTCAGGGTCAGCATCATCACCCCAATGTAGCGGCGCTGGGACCCACTGATTCCAAACCAGGAATTCTTCTTTTCCCCACGATGCAGAAACTCTCGAAGGCGATCAGAAGGGATGGCAAAAGAGATTCCAGCTGTGACCTTCATGGTATTTACTCCAATCACCTCCCCGTCCAGGTTAACCAGAGGACCTCCAGAGTTTCCAAAATCAATAGCTGCATCAGTCTGGATGTATTCCACATTGGTTTGGGGGAGGCCCAGGTCTCTGGCTGGACGCTGAGCAGAGCTGACAATGCCAGAAGTGATCGTATTCTGCAGTGCAAAGGGACTTCCCATGGCAACAACAAACTCCCCTTGCCGGACATCGGCTGAGCGTCCCAGGGGTAGTGTGGGGAGAGGCTCCTTGGTCTGAATCCTCAGCGTGGCAATGTCTGCCACGGGATCCACAGCTGTGACCATGGCCTCATACGTGTCACCGCTAAGCAGCCTCACACGGACCCGGCGCCGATCAGCCACCACATGAGCGTTGGTTACGATGAGCCCGTCGGCAGCCACCACGAATCCTGAGCCATTCGAGATAGGGACTTCGCGGCCCGAGAAAGGGTGCCGGCCCTTGCAAGATCTTGATATAAACCACAGCAGGTGCTGTCTTCTCTACCACGTCTGCGATGAAGTTGTACTGGCTCCGGGGAGAGGTGGGCGGCGAGCCAAGGACCGAGGCGAGGACCGCTGGGGGACCCCGACCCCCGCCCCGCAATAACAACAGCACTGCCCCCCCCCAGCGCCCAGCGCCACTGCCAGCCATACGCGCGGACGGGTTCCAGGGGTCCCTGAGACCTCCCGGGTCCTGGGATCTGGGGCCCCTGCAGTCAGCCGTGCTCGGGAATCCCAAGTCCCTGACGTCAGACACGTCTGTGGTTCAGGGACCCCCACAGACAACCGGGCCAGGAGGCTGGGGGTCCCATAAGTCACTCGGGCCCGAGGGTCAGGAGTTCCTGACGTCAGCAAGGCCCGAAGGTCAGGGGTCAACAGGGGTCCCTTCCCCCAGCGAACCCCCCCCAAAGCCCGCCATCCCCGGAGGTTCCAGCCTGCACCCTGCCCCGCCCTCAGTGCAGCCATCAGCTCTGCCTCGGCTGCCTCGTCGCCCGCCCTACACAGAGGCGGCGCCCTGGACGCGAGCTAGCGGCGAGATTTACTCTTTTTTTAAAGTTATTTGTTTGTCTATTTATTTGACAGAGAGAGTGAGCACAAGCAGGGAGAACAGACAGAGGGAGAGGGAGAAGCAGGCTCCCCGCTGAGTAGGGAGCCTGACTCTGGGCTCAATCCCAGGACCCTGAGATCATGACCCGAGCCAAAGGCCAACATTTAACTGATTGAGCTACCCAGGCCCCCCTTTTGGATGCTATTATAAATAGAATTATTTTCTTAATTTTCTTTTCAGATAGTTCATTGTTGTAATCAAACATAACTGATTTTTCTGTGTTGACTATGTACACAGTGATTTTACTGAACTTCTTTATTAGCTCTAGTATTTTTTTATGTGTGTATTCTTTGGGCTTTTCACTGGAAAGAATAATTTCATGTGCAAATAGCAATAGTTTTACTTCTTCCTTTTCAATTTAGATACCTTTCATTTATTTATCTCTCTTGCCTAATTGCTTTGGCTAGAATTTCCACCACAATGTGCAACAGTAGTGGTGATAGCCTGTATCCTTCTCTTGTTCCTGATCTTAGGAGTAAAGTTCTCAGTATTTCACCATTGAGTCTGATACTAGCTGTGGATTTTTGGTAAATGCCCTTTATTGTGTTTTATTTTAAAGACTTTATTTATTTGAGAGAGAGAGACAGAGCACAAGCAAGGGGGAGGAGCAGAGGAAGAGGGACAAGCAGACTCCCTGCTGAGCAGGGAGGCTGACTCAGGGCTCCATCCCAGGACCCCAGGATCATGACTTGAGTTGAAGACAGATGCTTAACCAACTGAGCCACCTAGGCACCCCAGTCCTTTATTGTGGTAAGAAAGTTCCATTCTATTCCTAATTTATAAATTTTTTTTGTCATGAAAGAATGTTGAATTTGTCAAATCCTTTTTCTGAATCTATTAAAATGATTGTGTGATTTTATTCCTAATTCTATCAATATGGCATGCCACACTGATTAATTCTTTTATGCAAAAAAAGTGTTATGTTTGAATTCCTGGGATAAATTCCATTTAGACATGGTATATAAATCCGTTTAGCCTCCTTTTGTACTTGATTTGTTAGCATTTTGTGAAGTTGTTTGCATCTGTATTTATAAGGGATATTGGTTTGTAGTTTTCATGTAGTATCTTTGGTTTTGTTATCAAAGCAATGCTGACCTCATATATTGTGTTAGGTAGCATTCTTTCTTTTTCAAGTTTTTAAAAGAGTTTAAGAAGGATTGGTGTTAATTCTTTAAATGTTTGGTGAAATTCACTAATGAAGCCATCTGGTCTGGACTTTTCTTTGTTGAGATGTTGCTTATGATGAATTAAAATTCTTTATTTGTTCTAGGTCTGTTGAGATTTTCTATTTTCTTCTTGTGTCAGTTTTGGTAATTTGTATGATTTTAGGGATTTTTCTATTTCATCTAGGTTATCTAAAATGTTGGCTTACAATGCGATTGTTCATAATATTCTCTCACAATCCTTTAATTTCTATAAAGTCAGTAACAATATCTCCACTTTTTAAAAAATTTTATTTGAGAGAGAGAGAGAGTGAGAGAGAGAGAGTACAAGCAGGGTGAGGGGTGAGGGAGAAACACACTCCCTACAAGCAGGGAGCCCACTGTGGGGCTTGATCCTAGGACTCCAGGATCATGACTTGAGCCGAAGGCAGATGCTTAACCAACTGAGGTACCCATGCACCCCAATATCTCCACTTTTGTTTCTTATTTTAGCTATTTGTATCTTCTATGATTTCTTGGTACAGCTAAAGTTTTCCAAATTTGTAGGTCTTTTAAAAAACTGTTGGTCTCATTGATTCCATTTTCTATTCTTTTATTCATCTCTGCTCTAATCTTTATTATTTTCTTCTTTCTGCTACTTTTGGGTTTAGTTTGCTCTTCTTTTTCTAGTTCCTTATGGTGTTAAGTTAGGTTGTTAATTTGAGATCTTTGTTTTTAATGTAGGCATGTAAAACTCCAAATTTCCCTCTGAGCACTGCTTTCACTCATCCTCTAAGTTTTAGTATGTTGTGCTTTCATTTTCATTCTCAAAAATATTTTCTAATTTCCCTAGTGATTTAATGTTTGACTCAATGGTTGTTTAAGAATATGTTATTTAATTGCCACATGTTTGTGAATTTTCCAGCTTTCTTTCTGTCATTGCTTTCCAACTTCATTCCAGTGTGGTTGGAGAAGATATTTTATATTATTTTGATCTTCTTTTAAATTTGTTGAGATTTGTTTTATGCCCTAACATATGGCCTATTCTGGAGAATGTTCTGTGTGAATTTAAGAAGAATGTGTATTTTGCTGATGTTGAATGAAATGTTATTTATATGTCTGCTAGATTTAGTTGGTTTATAACATTTTTCTAGTTCTCTATTTCCTTATTGGTCTTTTGGCGATATGTTCTATTCATTTTTGGAAATGGAGTATTGAAGTCTCCAACTATTATTGTAGAACTATTTATCCCTATTTCATCAATATTTGCTTCACATATTTTGGGACTCTTGTTTAATGTGTATATGTTTATAATTGTTACATCTTCTTGATGAATTTACCCTTTTATCACTACATAATGTTCCTCTTTGTCTCTTGTAACAATTTTTGACTTATATCTACTTTGTCTGGTATTAGTATAAAAACCCCAACTCCCTTTTGGTTACTATTTGCATGGAATACTTTTTTCCATTCTTTTACTTTTAACCTATTTGTGTCTTTGGATCTAAAGTAAATCTCTTGTAGGGGCTTCTGGGTGGCTCAGTGGGTTAAGCATTCTTCTTAAATTCCTCAGTGGAGAGTCTGCTTCTCCCTTTCCATATGCCCCTCCCCCTATCATGCTCTCTCTTTCTCTCTCAAATCAATAAAATCTTAAATATCAAATAGCATCCAAAAGACTAAAATACCCAGGAATAAATTTATCCAGGGAAATGAAAAACTTATGTACTGACAATTACAAAACATTGCTGAAAAAAATTTAAAAATCTGCTTAAATTGGATAGAATTCTGTGTTCATGAATTGGAAGGTTTAATGTTGGTAAGAGGCCAGTATTCCCCAAACCAAACTACAAAGTCATTGCATCCAGATCAGAATTCCAATGGCCTTCTTGCAGAAATGGGAAGGCATTCCTCAAATTCATATGGAATTGCAAGCAGCCCCAAATAGATTAAGCAATATTAAAAAAGTAAAACAAAGTGGAAGAGTCACACTTTCTGTTTTCAAAACTTATTACAAAGCTATAATAATCAAAATGGTGTGATACTGGCATAAAGACAGACATATAGACCAATGGAAAAGAATTGAGGGTTCAGAAATAAACCCAAACATCTATATCCAATTGACTTTCAACAAGGGTACCAAGATCATTTAGTGGGGGTAAGAATAGTCTCTTCAACAAATGGTGCTGGAACAGCTAAATAAGCATATGGGAAAGAATGAAGTTGGACCCCTGTCACACTCCATATATAAAAATTAACTAAAAATTATCAACAACCTAAATGTAAGAACTAAAACCATAAAGCTATTATAGAATAAAGCATAAGGATGAATTTTTATGACCTCATTTTGGCAGTGGATTCTCAGATTTCACATCAAAAACAGGAGCAACAAAAGAAAAAGTAAATGAATTTGACTTCATTAAACTGGAAGACTTTCATACATCAAAGGCCATTATCAAGAAAGTGAAAAGACAATCTAAAGAATGGAAGAGAATATTACAAATCCTATATCTGTTAAGGGACACTTTAATATTCAGAATAAAGTATTCTTACAACTCCAAAACACAAAGACAACCCAATTAAAAAAAGAAAAGGTTTAAATAGTATTTCTTTTAAGAAGATATTCCAATGACCCAAAGCACAAAAAAAGATGTTCAATATCATTGGTCATTAAAGAAATGCAAATAAAAACCACAATGAGATACCACTTCAGACCCATTAAGATGGCTATTAAAAAGGTGGGTGGGAGACCAAGAATAGTAAGTATTGACTATGATGTGAGCAGTAGGAACACTTGTATGCTACTGGTGAGAATGTAAAATGGTGCAGCCACTATGGATGTATTTTGGTAGTTCCTCAGAAAGTGAACTAGAATTACTTGTATGACCCAGCAAATTATTTCTGGGTATATATCTAAGAGAAATGAAAACATGCTGCACAGAAACTTGTACATGAATGTTGATAGCAACATTATGCATTCTAGCCAAAAGATGAAACTCATAATCATATTATAAAAGGAAGGAGGAACAGAGCTACATAGGAGTAAAGTTTCTCTTTTTCACTGGAATTAAGTTACTATAAATATGAAATAGACTTTGATAAGCAAAGGTGTACATTGTAAGCCCTAGAGTAACCACTAAGAAAATATTTTTAATATAAATATTATTAGTGAAATAAAAATGTTATACTAGGAAATATCCCTTAAATGCAAAGGAAGACAGTAAAAGAGGGACGGAGGGGCAAAGAAATTTGGCACATAGAAAATAAAAAGCCAAGTGGCAGATGTAATTCCAGCCATATCAGTAATACGTGTAATATAATCACACAACCCAATCAAAAGGCAGAGATTATCAGATTGGATTAAACACAAACAAGATCCAACTATACGCTATCTAGAGGAGATCATTTAGATTCAAAGATACAAAGAGTTTGAAAACACAGGTTTGGAAAAAGATATAGCATGCAAATAGCAACTATAAGGATGTGAAGTGTCGATGCTGATATCAGACAAAAATGACTTTAAAACAAGAATTAGAAAAGGGTGAGCCCACCCAAGGAAAAGCACTGCTAGAGAAGAACAGAGGGTTTGGGGTAGAACTCTGGGAATTCTCAAATTTAGAGGTAGGAGAAAGGGCAAGTACCTTGAAAAGGAGACCTCCAAGCTACAATATTTTCCAGGCTTTTACCAATCCTGCTGTGGTGGAAACACACACATTAGA